CTGGTCTTTGATGGCGAACTAGTAGCTGTTACAAAAGCAGTAGAATATGCAAGTACAAAATCTAAGCCAGGACACAAATTCGAAATATATTCAGACAGTCAAGCAGCTTTATCCCGCTTAGCTAAACCCTCAGTGTGACAGAAACCGAGTTGGTTGCAAATAAATCGATTTATTAAACTATATGAGGAGAAAAGAGAACTATAGCTATGACTAACAGGTATTTATAAGAATTGGTCCCCTTCGTCAATCTCCAGACTGATGACTTATCCTTAGGCACAATACTTGCTACCCAGCCACGCATTGCCAGGTGTTACTTAGTTGTAGTAACGCTTCGACCTCCTGACTAGTAGTGCCGCCTTGTTGTAAATATTCCCAACAATCCGCTTAGGTATTCACCTAAGCTCAAATAACGGTCAAACCGAAACACTCAGACCACCCTGGGCAGTCATGTCAGTTGAGAGCCATGAGAGCAGCAAAACTTATTACAAATAACAAGGCAACAGTATCATTGAACTGGATTCCAGGCCACTCAGATATAGAAGGTAACACTGAAGCAGATAGACTAGCCAAGGAAGCTACCAAGATAACCCCAGAGACAGTGGATCTCAGTTTTGCAATGACTTGAGCCCAGATTCTAATAAAAATTAAACATCAATGGCTTGCTGTTCTAAATCATAATGATAGCAATTTATAACAGAAGCCACTTGCTTATAGGAAAAAGTTCAATTGGAATATCAATTCTAAACTTCGGATATCCTCTGAAGTAAGCAGAGAAGTTTCAAGTGCATTCTATCAAATCAAGCTAAGACATGGATACAACAAAGCATACCTATTCAGACAAGAACACAGTGAGAATAACGAGTGCAGATGTGGGAAGCGTGAGACATCAGATCACCTCCTACTCAGTTGCAGCAACTAAAGACATGAACGACAATTGCTTAGACAAGAATTGAACGGGAATATATTGACAATGAATTTGCTTATTCATACCAAAATAGGGATAAATAAAGTCATTGAACATATTAAAAATATAAAAATATCAACCAGAAGATGGCACCAGGAGAGAATAGATGAAGTACCTCAGTGTTAGTAATAAGTAACCCCCAATGTCACGGACTGGCCCTGTAATGTTGTGTAGCACCTGGCAAACCGTGTCATGAGTGTACTCAAATCACAGTTAATGCGTTGCGATAGTTACAGTGTTGCGATAGCAACAGTTACCACCCAAGATACCAGTTAGTTGCTATGACACGGATGTAGGCTATGGCATCACTGGTTATGGTGACTGCCCTCATGTACTTAAGGGAGCTCTGAGACTGTATTTGTACTGTAGCTTCTTGTCTTGTAATTTACTTACTCTCTTGGCCTCATCTTCGTCCTCGTCCTCGTCTTTATCTTAGTCCGCGTCCTCATCTTCGTCCTCGTCTTCATCTTAGTCCTTGTCCTACTTTCCGTCCTCGTCCTACTCTCCGTCCTCGTCCTAGTCCACCGTACGCAAGCCCTGACACCCAATTACAATTGTGGGTAATGAAGGAAAATGGAAGGCTTGAAAGATAAACAAATGCAGAAATGCATATAAAACGCACAAAGGGCTTGTCTCTCAATATCTACATGAACAAATTTTGGCATATTTCAAAATTAAATTTCTCAAATGTAATTAGAATCTTTAGTTAGATTCACAAAGTCAATAGTCTTAGACTCAGTAGGGACTATAATAAAAATCTAATCTAATATGCAGAGGATACTGAGCTATTACACTGGCACCACTGGAAGGTGAAGAAATCGTCTTTGCCGGTAAAAGTTCAGTTTGATACATTTGTGTTAAACTATTAGATCAATGAATGTTTAGCAGTTACACACCTCAGGGGTGTAGATGCATGCAACACGCTTAGCATAGGAAAACACCACTATCGCAAACATCAACGTAACATTCTGTAAACGGGACTGTAACTAGATCTAACTTGACGATCAAGTCTTGATGTGTTGCTAAGTAGATGGATGAAGTATGAATACTTTGGATACATAGTTTATAAGTGACCTGAACCCAGTAAGAACGGACAGGTTCTACCGGAAGCACATCTTACAATATAATCAATTATCTTTCGGAGGGCAAGACTGAACACCTGTACGCGGTGTCCTCTACGAACCTGGGAGTGGAATACTCTCCCAGAGCCAAGCTCAGCTAAATTTCGCAATACCGAACAAGTTGGCCAACGAGGCAATGATTCAAATTACTCCACCACGTCAAATTTTCACTCCCAACGAGATCAATTCCTACCTGAGCCTCATCAAGTCTACAAGTACGACCTAGTACATCCTTATTCCAATGATCACACCTCTCGTCGACTTTCTCTGGCCTCAGCCGATCACCAAATACACGCCCGCGCCGATATTTATACCCGACGGAGGACACAAAGTGTGGCGCACAAATCTGGGAGACAGCTCATTGGGATTGGCGTAAGAGGATTAAGGACAAGTTAACAAGATGATGCGACGGATGGATACAGTCTCGACAGGCGTGGAATTTCGAACTTTGGCAAGGAGTTTTTACAAATTGGGCTTTGTGCGTGCCAAGGCTTCGGTTTTGAGAGTGCAGACGACACTATAAAAACTGCGATGGTTGGATGGTGCGGTGGTACATCGTCTTGGCCGGTCTACCAAGTAGAGTCTGGATAGCTTGGACACATATCCCACTCGAGACAGTAGATCGCTGGTTCAAATCCAGCAAAACACAGCCACATTTCTCGCGGCGCTGGTATGCATGGATGACAAAGGTTTAGAATTTCCCTTTCGTGGGTACTTACGGAGGAGGGTCGACTGTTTGTGTAAGCAAGCATACCTCATAGTGGTATTTGCAAATGAAATCCAGAGTATGAGTGTCTCTAACGTCAGAAGAGTCATCCAACATGTATACATAGTACCGGTCATGTGTCATAGCTCTATAGCTGAATATACATTAAATGATTTAATAAAAATAAATCTTTCATCTACATCTACACTTACATTATATTTTCTTTGCAATACTCAATTTCTTTTCACACACATCGACATCTGACAGTCCATAATCATTTTATGCCTATTGTTCCATATTACAAATTCGATAAGAGGAGAAGGCTTTAAGAAGGTTTCGGAAAATGTTTACTAAGAAGGTTTCCAAGAAAACTCTGACAGTTAGAGAAGGGGGGGCTGGCGTCATGACTACATCTGAGATAGTCTTAGTTGAGTTTTAGTACTGTCTCGAGTTAGACTTAAGAAAGCTGGAGAGCTGCTATAAAGCAGCTCTCCAGCTTCTCAATCTTTCATTCTTTTGAAATTTACTCTCGCAATCTAGCATTTATATAAAATTATAATCTCATTCTCTTAGTCTTTCACTATTCATTAGATTCTTCGTACTTCTTTTAACCATAGGTTATCAGACTTATTTGCTTACTCCACAACTTGACATCTTATCTTTGTGTCTCTCGACAATCCTGCAGCTCCCCGGCCCTTGAACACTTGGCTCCTCGCCATTTGAATCATATCTGAGTATCCTTCGTTAGTAGATATACTCCTAAGAGTTACAATAAATTACCTTCAGCAGATGGCGATTTCCAGTATCTTTAGTGCACGCCGTAACAGCCAGCATGCCAACGAGAGACTTCTTTTCTCTCTTATTCCACATCCCAGCTGCCTGTACTTGAATTATGTAGCCCCGTGAGAGTAAAGGTTCCCACAAGCCAAAACTCGGACTTTGTATGCTGTGACTTAGATTCTTCCTCGCGGGTATACATATTATTGTAAATTTAAAGTTGGAGATGGCCAATATCTGAAGAGACAGATTTCCTTTCGAAATTGGTGCAATTACTTATTCGACGCTGAAGCAATTTGATTTGTGGTTTCAGTAAGTTCGAGGACTCGAATGGGGATTATTGGTCCGGCATTGATGTGTAGTTATCGATTTTAGATATACTTATGTTAACTTCCGACTTTGATTCGTATGCTCTCTTTTTTGCTATCTCAGATAAGCAGAGAGTACAAAGCGGTCAAATCGGCCGCACCGGAAGATGAAGAATCAGTCTCTGCCGGGCTCTGGTATGTTACATGGCCGCAGCATATCCAGAGCTGCTTATCAATGTATGTTTAGCACACTAGAACTCTGTCCGGTCTAGGCTAAACCTTTAACAGTGCTACTACCCCTTTCGCTATTTGAAAGATCTCTTACACATGGCCTTGATAGAAAACCATTTAGCTCTGTGCTTACCCGTGGAAATTAGCCACCTTTTCCACGGAACCTTCTACTGATGGAAAGATGTCTAGGCCTCACCTGGATGGGTCTACAGGGCTTTTGGACTTTATTCCGCGCACGCAGTTTCTATCATGGACCATGTGTAGGAGATCTTTCAAGTAACAAAAGAGGTAAGGAGTACTGTACAAGGTGTAACCTGGGTCAGTGAGGAGCCCATTGTGCTAGACAGTCTACGACTAAAGTAGTACAATAAAAAACATATATTTTCTGACGAAAAGATAGTACCAATAGCTATTACGTGCTCTAGAAAAAGTCACAGAAACATGCAGCCCTAGCTAGACGAAGCCTATACACCAGAACCACACAAAATGAATATATTCATCTGTATCTCCTATCTATGTAACATTCGAGGCCAATTTAATCAAGTCCGTCGTCGCCATATCCGGAGCTGAGTACGCTTCAGAAACTTATCAAATAGCTTGTCCTCCATGACCAGGGATAGATAACAAGTAGGGTTCTGATCCCCATTTCTGGTAATATTAGATATAATTCAGCCCACTAATACAAATAAACCAATTAAAATTGAAAATTTAGACAAGTATACAGTCCCTAGGGACTCAATGACGCATTTGACCTTACACCCCACTTATACTTCCCGAGCAATTAGTAAGACTCCGACAACGCTAAATCAAAGTGTTAAATATCGCGTACAGTGTTTAATTTTCCGAATTTGCTTCAAGCTTATCCCGTTTTACCTTCCTTTGATCCTGCAACGATGCCCGATAATGGGATTATCAGATGCCCATTTTGTGGATTTAAGGGTACCAGTGAATATCAGATATTGGTAGGCTCAGCGAAATTCTTGCTGAAGATAACTCTGATTTGCTATAAAAGTACCACTTTGAAGTTACGCATCCAGAAGATTTATCTAGTAACTGTGTTCAACATAATGTCAACACCGCTGATGAATTTTACCGAGACGAAACATCTGACCAATTTGAATGTTGCTCAGTGAATAGCTTTAGAGATGTTATGCTCTTGCCGGAACAGGATGATCAAAAAAATTTGAATCAAACTATTCAAATCTCTGACCCCCACCAGGCTAGATTTAAGCTCCGAGAGGATTTTGAATCAGCTTATGAAAAAAATACATCACCTTCTTTGCATGAATGGAAAGAGAATAATGTCGAGCAGAAGATTAACGATCCTTCAGCTCATCAGTTGGGTACGAAAATGAAGTTGAGCGAATTTCTCAAGACCTCCAGTAAAGTTACTGAGAGAACTCCACGATTTGGATCGTCATCTAGCAAAAAAGCTCGGGTCTTTGATGTAAGTAACTCTCTATTGTGTTCAAACATGCTTGAAGGACAATTTGGAACTGCTACTCAGCTCTTGCCAGAATTCAAGCCTTGGCCCACATGCAAATGAAGATAAGATGCCAGCCTGGCTATTTAATTTAATTTCAAATAATGACGGTATTATGAAAACAGTTAACCGTATTGAGAACGGACGACCGATAAAGCTTGAAATATGTCCAAATATGGTGCCAGGGGTTATTCCTGTATTGGCACAAATGTTTGCAAAAGATGAATCAACAAAGATTGCGTACCTTTGTCATCCAGCGGTTAAACAAATATCAAAGCTTAAGAAGGAGGGTAAATTTTCTTATAGTTGTGCCACACAAGTTAATTCTATTAGGTGGATTTTGCGGGTACAGAAATATACAGATGATGGCATCATATATAATAGCATCAAATTCCCAAGGGCACGAGATCTTCAACGGGAAAATTCCTTCCATATTCGAGATACAAGAATACATTGAGGATGCTTGGGACCTTGGCATAAATCCTCAAGGTCGTGTCGAAACAGGTGGTATTCGTGGAACGAGAAAATATATTGGAACCTCTGAGGTAGATTTAACCTATCTGATCCACTCTGTCATCGGTTCTTAAAATCAGACAGGTTCAAGCGATGTTTTGTCGCTTAGGAATCGCGTATGTCAACCTAAAACCTGAGTAACATACTTACTGGTTAAAATAGGAGTGAAGTCCTCGAAATAAGAAATGGAATGCCTTCAGAACTGGCATTTAAGCAGTTATTTTCGATGGCCCAAAAATATTTCAGCAGCTGTATTGTAGATGTTGACTCCAAAATCTATAAAACCAGTCTGCCACCAATATATCTACAGCATCAAGGTAACGTAAAAGATAGTATTAAAAATCAAGCATTAAGTGTGTCAAAATAGGACATTCTATGACAATTATCGGATACGAAGAAAGGATGGATGGATCGAATAATTTATTAGTTTTTGACCCAACATTTTCATACTCTCAGGATATGATCATGAGCATTGGTTCTACGATAGACAATAGTCATTTGTTACATTCACTAAAATTTTATCGAAGAGGTGCTAATTATTTGGGGAAGTACAACGAATTTGAAATATTCAAGCTAGCTAATGCAGTTCTGTCTTAATAATTGAAGACCCAATTATTCTCCAAAGGTTTCAAAGATTAATTATCGAATAACAACGAATAGTTTTTGTCTAGTTATAGAGAATAGTTCTGGGTAAGTTTTTTTGATTTGATTTGGGTAATTTAACGTATCAGGCTAAAGCCCTACACCCGGAAGGCTTGACACGGGTGCATGTTCGCGAAGGGCCCACAACTACCATTGAAGCTAGCTTTATATAGCCAGAAATTTACACGAATGAAAGCCAAGAATATGAAGGAAAATTTTTGTCGCTCTGACTCGACGCCCTGCGACTAACCAGCTAGTTGGGGGTAAGTTTTTGTAAGTACTGCGCTGTCAAAGTTGGGGTTGACCATTAAACAAGGCCAATTAATTAGCCTTATCTGAGCTTATGTTCTAAAGCTAACGATGTCAAGTTGCGGAAAGTTTAAGTCAACAAAAGACTTGACAAGTTATAATTATTGAGCCTCCTGAGATCTACCACAAGGATTGGAGAATTGTGGTACTAACCTCGAACTCTATGCAATTTATGGTCGAGTTTAACTCAAGATGTGTAAGTATTTAAACATGAAGGCCTCATGAGATAGATATGTGGGACACGGTACTACATTGAAAATATGGAATGCAGCCCTACGGCGACAATAAATGGAGGACAAAGACTGAAAATTCATCCGCAATGTCCTCTATGAACCTAGGTGTGAAAGATTCTCCTAGATTATGATATCTCAAACGTGACAGGATGAACCCAAGATCTTTTTTAAACGTGACATGAAGAAATATTCTCCTTGGGCTAAGCTCATTCAAGTTTTAAAATAACAAAGTTGGCCCTCGAGGCAACAATTTAAGTCTCAGCTAGATCAATATTTCATTCTCATGATATTGATTCCTACCAAATCCTCATTCAGCCTGTAGGTAATATTTAGTGCACACCAACCTCTATAGTTGTAATTGTTAGAGTTAGGCTCTATTCCCATGGTGTCTAAACAGTATTTATTAGACTGCAGGTTTCCGCCTCTGATCATACATCCGTGGGCAAATTACACTTTAGGACATGTGCACGGTAATGAAGGCTGGAAAACTGAATACCGATCTGACAGACACTGTAAACATAATTTCGGACATGGGCATAATATTGAAGGCAGGTCACAACTCTGCATTGAGCGCATATCTCATGGGATATAGGTGTCCTATCTTTACCTTTGGAAATATCTATAAAAGAAGGCATTTATGTGTACATAGTAAAGTAGACTTCATGGGAGGGTATTTCCATAATAAATACATATAATAAAGATACTTGATAGAGACCTTTACATTATTTACATCCAACTGCAATCGCAGCCAATAAATGAGTAGTCCAAATGTCAAACTGAGTTATCATCATATATTTTCGTCGGGGAAGCTAGTTTTCTCCGTGTCATGCTCTTTGAGTGCAGAGCTTACTGTCATGGAATGTGATCGTGTTGGAAATGGAGACACGGAGTGTTGTGGACGTATGGGCCCTCCATTTCGTCTAGGTTCCCGACACGATCTTATGTGTATGTAAGAGGTTGGAGTAGGTAATATGGTAGCGCTTCAGGCTACCTATTGGAGATATGAGTGGCTGTATGGCGTGGGCGCAAGGAGGTTATTGGGGTTTTTCTATGCCTAGATGGCTCTACATTCGTTTATGCTGTGGCTTAGGCTATGTATCGCTTAAGCTTGCACTTGTAGCATACACTTTCCGCACTTTTAGCCGTAATTTGAAAATATATATATAATTCATTTTACCTGAATTGGCGCCTTGAGGCCCATGCAGGTTTTATCGGAAGATATGCACTTTAAGTAGGATGACTCAATTTGACGATTAGAACACTCACACTCAGATTTCATTTGCAGATACCACTCGAGATTAACCCTTACGGCGTATAACCTCTTCCGTGCATACCCACCACAGGGAAATTGTGAAAAACCTGTAGCTATCCAAGTGTGCTTTCATCATCCCACAAGTACAATATCACCGCGAGAGAGAGTGGTGTGTAGGTCTCACTGGATTCGAACCAGCTTTCTCCTATCTCAAATGGGGTAGGTGTCCAAGCTTCCCAATATCTACTTGGGAGAATGGCCCGAGTGGTGTACCACTGCACCATCCAACCCTATATAATTCGAACATGACACTACTTTAGTCAACTTCTACTCACGTTCCATAAATATTGCGCCCATGTGTGTTTGTTTGTTTGTACTACTTGAGCCTATGACTATCTAGCACATTGGGCTCCTCTCTGACCCAGGCCACACCTTGTACAGTGCTCCTATCCTCTTTTGTTACTTGAAAGATCATTGATATATTCCCCTTGATGAATAGCCATTCAGCTCAGTATTTACCCGTGGAATTCAGCCACCTTTTCCACGGAACCTTCTACCCAAAAAAAATAAAAATGGTAGCAATGGAAACTGCGTGCGCGGGAAAAAGTCTCAAAAAACCTGCAGCCCCAGCCAGGCGAGGCCTATACACCGGGACTACAAGAGGTGCGCATATTCATCTATACCTCCCTTCTTTGTAACAGTCGAGGTCGACTTGATCCAATCCACCATCTCCGTGTCGGGTGCTGGGTACGCTCCGGAAACTCATCGGATGGCTTTTCCTCCATGATCAAGGGTGGGTGACGAGTAGGGCTCCGACCCTACCATCTGATCTGATCGTGGTTAGCTTCATGATAGTGGTGATAGGGGAATGTGTTGAGAGAAGAAGACAATACAGACCGCGAAAGCGATTGGGAATCCTCTTCGAAGTGAGGACTTTGTTACTCAATCTCGGCTCTGCAGACTCTACAGTGAGAGCTGGAGGTTCGTAGGGGACACCACTGACAGGTGTTGAGAATAGTCCCCCTATTGCGCCCATTTCATTACGCAATATTTCCAACAGATTGTGATCTAATCGATTCAACATCATTCCGAAAAATCGCCAACATTGAATTCCGCCCAGTGAAGTGTCAGCCTTGTCGTATAAACGATGGAAAGTAATTATTCGCGAAGTATTAATGTTAGGAGGCTTTTTCCTGGTAACAAAGGAGGAAATAACGCGTCGCAAATACTCCAAGACGCGGACACAGCCCTAAAGAAGTTCAAACAAGCAATCAGAGAAGACAATCTTGCTCCCAGAGCATGCATGAAACTTTTAGCGGAGGCTGTTCAATTAATTGAAAGCCTCCAGAAACCGAAAGTGTCCTCAATCATTCCGAAGGCTTTGAATGCAGAACATACCACTACAATGACTAAAATCCTGCAGGAAATACATACAATCAAAACAGCGATTACAATCAATCAAAAGTCTACCCGCGGGCATGAGCAATCATGGGCCAAGATAGCTAGCCAGTCTGAGATGGTTGGTGCAACGATTAAGATTACCGACGAAAATGAGAGGGAAAATATAGCCCAGCTAACAAGTGAAGAACTGGTGAAGAAAATCGGAGCCAGGGAAGTCATAGGGGCTAGGCAGATGAAGAATGGGCAGGTGAAAGTCTTTTTTGCGGAACAGGCAATAAAAGACCGGATGGAAAAACATCGAGACTGGACACAAAAGCTGGCAGCTACAGCTCAAATAGCGAGTCCCATCTACCAAGTAATTATCCACGGAATGCCCTTCTCATCCATGCCAGAGAACCCCGATCACATTGCAGCACTACAAGGGGCAAACGAAACATACATCGAGGGGGTTAAAATACAAAAAGCCACATGGCTCAAGAAAGCAAATCAACATGGAAAAAGTGCAGGGTCGTTGATTTTATGGTTTTCTCAAGCAGATCATGCAGATAAAGCTATTGCTAAAGGTATGGTTTGGCAATACGAAGTCAAAGCCACAGAGATCTTTCGGTCAGGATTCCGGGCGATGCAGTGCTTTAACTGTCAGAGGTTTAGCCATACTGCTAGGACCTGTACGGCTGAAGCTCAGTGTGGTAAATGTGCAGGAGGACACAATACCCGAGAATGCCACGGGAAACAGGATACTAGATGCTGCAACTGTGGGAGGAAGCATACAGCATGGGACCAAATTTGTCCAACTAAAATAGCAGCAAAGTCTAAGGCTGAAATAAATAGGACTTGCGATCCAGGAAGATACCAACAATCAGTGGAAACACGAAAGGATCTACAAGATGAGTGGCAATTAGTAGGCTCCAGGAAACGGCGTGCAGGTACATCAACTGTGGAAATCATTAACCCAGTTGGTGCAACCAGCACCCGTCGAGGTCCTGGAAGGCCACGCAAAATTTCCGGCCCCGCTGTCCCTGACATTTCAGGAACATGGCCCAAACTGGTGTCCCCGGCCAGTGCGCCAACGTCGTTCACCCAAATACTACCCCGGACTGTGACACGGGAGAACTCTGCAGAGACCAACGGGGCACCGGACTGCGTAATGAATCAATGAAAGGCGCAAATACACTAAACATAACACAGTATAACGTCAATAAAAGCAAAAATATAGTTCAACACCACTTCCTCCAAGCTTTAGACCCAATAAAGCACCATGTGGTGACTTTACAAGAGCCATGGCGCCATCCAACAGAGCATACGACGATTAAACACCCATCTTACCACCTGATATTTCCGGATGGGTGCAAGGGTAGGACATGTATTTACATAAGTAAGTATCTTGCAATCACAAAGTGGAGAAAGGAAAAAACCCCAGCAGAGGCAGATGGAGATATAACCTCCATCAGTATGCAGACTAACAGAGGCAAAATATTCGTTACTAATGTATACAATCCTCCTCCCCTATCTCACAGTAGCACAGATCTAGGGCCTCTAAAATATCTCCCCGAACTTCTCTCTAAAAAAGGCCAACATATCCTCGTGGGGGACTTCAATCTACACCACCCTAGATGGGGGGGGCAATCAGTTCTAAGGCATCATAGTTTAGCTGAAGACTTAATAGGAATACTAGGAGACAACAATATGGAATTAATTCTTCCGGAGGGAACCATCACTTGGAATAATAGGGGAAGTCAGAGTACGCTTGATCTAGTCTT